AAAATATAATCAGATTTCAACATGAATATTAGAGGAACACAAGTCAGTCCATAACACTGACTTTCCAATAGATCCTTTCTTTCACAAACTAATATTCAAAGGAATCCACTTTAAAAACCTTAGCTTTATACATGATTTAAATTTATACTATTCTGATTTCACCGTAAATAATTTAAGAACCAGGAAGCACTACCTGAGTGTAGGCAGTGTGTAGGGCTCTATGGATTTAAAGTAAAGAAGACAGGATTTTGGCCTCAATCCTATTCTCAGAAATAAATGCAAGACATAGAAAAATAAATATATTCTGATAATTAGAGATGCTTTTCCAGTTCTAATCAATAAGTTTTTAGGCCATTTGTCATACTATGATAAATAGGGGAAAGTTATAGGATTCTGTGTGTATAAATATTATGGAATATATGTAGTCCTTAGGATCTATGGCAAATTTTTAACTCTATCATATTTAATGGGTTTGTTTGTTTGTTTGCTATATGTATTTTTGTTGATTTTCATTCCTTCATTCCCTCATGTTCTTTATCAGGGAATTCTGAATGCACCATGAGTATAACTTCATTCTCAATCTCATAATAAAAATAACTAATACAAATGTCTAAAAAACTTAAACAGAACAAAAATATATATAATGAATGATAATTGGCTTCATATTTCCCTTAAATATGTACTATTAACTATGCTTGTCTTTACATCAAGACATTATCTATGCATTACTAAACACAAGTATTTATATACATCTTTTTTTTTCTTTGTCAATAGGAGGAATTACTAAATATTCATTTTTGCCTTTCTTTTCACCAAATCTAGATTTGACATCTTTCTAGAAAATATTTTGAAATTTACATTATTCTTTACATTCACATAATAGTATTCATTTTAATGGATGTAACAAATCATTGAACTAGTCTAGTTGTGAGAGCTACTTGGTTTGTTCCAAATCTGGTATTACAAAAAATATTGTCCTAAATTTATTGCACTTATATCCTTGCCACAGTGTTCTCTAAAATTGCTGAATCATTTAGCCTTTATCCTCAGACCTTTTCTGAGGTGCATAGCAATTCCATTTTCTTCGGATCTATCTATCTTACTGACCTGTAACTAACATATTAGGGAATTTTAGCCTTTTTTCTATGATATGTAATACAAATATATTTTAAACCCATCAATTGACTTGGGAACTTTCAACTAATTTAGACAGACATAAAAACATTTTATATCCATTTTAAAATATTATGCATTTTAGAAAATATCACACCAACAAAAAAGGTATATAAAATGTAAGTGTACAGTTGAAAGAAATAATAAAATAAACTTCTGTATCCTCTATAACCAAGTTCAGAAATAGATTGTTGTCAGTACCTTAGAAACACACTTCTTCCAGTGGAAACTATAAGCCTGACTTTGGTGAACATTTTGAAAATTTTACATCTGCCATCTATATGTAATTCTCTCAAAACTATTGTTTAGTTTTTTGAATAATATACAAATACAAACAGATTCACTACTTATGCTCAATATTCTTTTGGTGATGAAATCATGTATTTTCTTTTTTTTTAAGCTCTATAGATAGAGTTTTATCTATAGATAGTGTTTACTGTGTAACTACGCCATGCTATTCTGTGGATGGACATCTGGCTGTGTACAGCTTTAATGTAATGCTGCTGTTATGAACATTTGTATATGTCTCCTGTTGTATAAGAGCAATAGTATAAATAAAGTATAAACTATGTATTTTCCCCTACCAGGTAATCTCAGACTTTGCTCAAAAATTTATACTTCAACAATGATTATACAAATTTATACTTCAACTTTTTTTTTAATTTTATTTTATTATG